CGAATTCTGTAGGATTGTGCCTGTTCAACTGTTTTTCCACCGAACTATCAGTTTCTAAAAATCACAGGACAAGCGCAACGCAACAGTGGGAGGATAATCTGGGCCTCTAAGTGTCAGTATGCATGCGGGGTCCCTAGTGCCGGATGAAACCGTAGTGGTCTGCGAAACGTCAGACCAAATTGGGTCGGGTAATGAAGACCTATCGTATATGGCGTATGAAATATGCAATGAATTGGACAAACGCTTGGAGAAAGGAAAAAATGTGTGAAGGACAAAAACGGCTAAAAGAGGGAGGTGTGTAGACGAATATCCTCCCCCACAAGTCACAAAGAGCGAAAGGGCTGCAATTTCAACTGCAAAATTGTTTGGAATAATTTTTTTAGAAATATCCTGGTGATGCGGTGATAATACTGATGGGGAAGGCATGCGAGTAGTATGATTTCTTGTAAATCCGATTTGAGTCTCTTGAAACATGGGATCTATTGCGAAATTTGTGGAGTCGCCTTGAAGCATTTGCTTGCATTTGAGTAACAGTCAATGAATATCCAGGAAAGTTCGGAAAGACGCGTTCAAAGGGAGGATGAGTATTCAGTTTTTGTAAACAAGATGCATATGCGAGTTTTGCTCATCTGTCCAATAGTATGTAACTGTTTAGTTGGCAATTTCTGATAAACAACTCCGCAGCGAAAGCCTTCTTCCTTTCACTGGTATCCCGCCAAACACAGAGAGTAACGGACGTTTATGCTACCAATTATCTGATGACTCACGCCTTGGAATGACACAAAGAATCAGGTAAAAATCTCGCAGGAGATCTACAGGTGTTCAGATTAAGGGACGCAACCGGAATAGATGGAAAAATCACCCACCGGTAAGTAAATCTCTCTATAAAGAGAAAGAAAACAGACCGTTTGCGTCCATAATAATAATAATAATAATCGTTCAGCTTTAACACCCTTTCGGTGCCTAGCTGCCATGCCACCCGGAGGAAGCACGAGGGCTTGGATACTGCCAGGTCGCCCAGGCCTAGACGGGGTAAGTCGAGTGGCGAGGTCGGATTCGAACCACAGAAATTACGGTCGGTAAATTCGCGATCTAACCACTTGAGCCATCTCGCCCAAGCAATGTGCGGCCCGAATGTGAACAAACAATGGGTGTGTCAGTGAATTTCCGACAACGTTATCCTCAGTTGAAAAATCACATCAAATCTGCAAACAACTGTGAATGAACTATGCGACCAACAACACATCACTGCTATCTGTGTGATTGATGACAAAACAATGGTGAAAAGACTGGCACGCTCGAGAAACGAATAACTGACTGCCTCCTGACAACAACTTCCAGTCCGTTTAAATACAGACGCCTGGATGACATTGAGAGCGTCAAACAGTAGCCAGTGGACGTGACTCGAGCATTCAATCAGCCTTCATCGACAACGGAAGAGGACTGGGAGTACTGTGCTCCCGGGAAAAAAAGGGCTGTTGGCGAATTTTCAGCAACCTTATGAG